TATTTTAGTGTATTATCCAACTGGATTAAGAAACCTTCAAGCGCTAAAATATGTTAACTTTTGTATATAATAATTTATTCAATAGTTATAATGACTATTTCGATTAGTTTTATTCTTGAATATATTCCCAAAATTCGTTAATAATTCAACCGAATTTTTCTTCAGTAATTGACAACTTGTCATGAATAAATTTTATGTATATATATATATATATCTATATATTTCATAGAAAATTAACACTTGAATATTTTTTTTAATGAATCTCCAGATAATGTCTGTCTTTTGTCATCAAATATTATAAATCAATTTCTTTCTTCTAACACAATACTCTTTCTTAAAAACAGATTTGTTGATTTGTTCTATTAGTAAGAAAAATAATTATCTTGAATAGAAGACATATGAAAGATACTTTCTTTATATAAATAATTGTATAAATCCGCAGAATTTGTATCATTTCCCTACTATACTTTTTTGACAATAATACTAGTAAATATACATATTGATCTACTCTATATCACTTATGAGTATAATTCTTCTATTGAAATTTCTTTTTTTTATATACATGATAACACCATGAGATTGTTGTTTGATAGCATCATTAGATTTTGTTCGTGGTAGATAATAAAAATGCATCAAATTTATCACAGCAGTATCCATATAGGTATCACTATCGGAAAAAAAGGGAAGGTCGTTAGCGACTTGTTGTCTGTGAATAAGTGTATATAAAAATAAGTTATATGTGTCCTCTAGCTTGATTTCCTAAAGATTTTTTTTTTCTATTCTTTGATGCAATATATTTTGACTAAGAACAATATTGTAGAAAAGAGAATGACAATCACAATTACGATTGATTGACACATTCACATACTAGTGCTTTAGCCCATTTTATTTGTCTCTTGTTATTTATTTGTTCAAACAACTGTTGACAATAGACATATCTAATATAATAATATTAAAATATCAGCAAGATGTTTCATATCTTTCGTTGGCGTCGCGAACATAATCAGAATGATGATAAATCAACACCTGATTCATTAGTTAGTCGAAAATATAAACGACAACATCTTCGACAAAATCGTGAACGAATACTACGTGAAACTCGATATCGTCAAGGTTTACTTCATAACAAACAACATTGGTCAACTGACGATCTTGATAAATATCAGGTAATAAAGAAAATGAATCTACACAAAAGAGTTCTTTTTTTTATAATTATATTTGTAATTTTATCACGCAAGAGAGAATATTTATTAGTTATTTAAGTACTAAAAAGTTTCAGGTAACTTACTGAATGTCAACAGAAGAAAAAATTTAGATTTTTTACTGATTGCCATAAGAAAAGATTTGACATGCACTTAGAGATATTAGAATAGAAGCATAATGGCATTAGTTACCAATCGTATAAATCCATTCAATAATGAAAGAAAGGTATTTATTATTATTATAAACTTTGTACTCTAATATTTAATGAAGATAATCGAATACATATATGTATTATTATTTTTTATATGAAGTTTAGCAAGAGATGGTTGGCAGTTTTCCAGTAGAAGAAGGTGGGATTAATAATAAATCAGTATGACTAATCATACGAGTATATTTTCATTTGTCATAAATAATTACTTATTTTGCCGGAATATAATCTAATAATAGAATTATATTCAAAAATAGATTAATAATTGAAAAATAATATATATTTTTTCTCAAATGAAAAGATTTGTATAATATAGATTTTGATTTTATAATTTAGTAAATATCGTAATGAAACAGGACTATTAAGAAATGATAAAATTTACTTTTCTAAAAAATATCATAGAAATGTGTGCGTATGTCTCCTCTAGCAGAATGTATGTGGCTTCATAGATTTATAGAAAGAAATTTCAGTCGTATTCCAAGTATATTTTTGTGTTTTTATAAAACTTTTCGGTCATAAAAAATTACCTTGTGACAGTATTAAATATAATTTTTATGTGTAAGATTTCTTTAGTTTTTTTTCCAAACATAGTTTCTATATAGAAAGACTCGAACTGATTCAAAGATCTACATAAGAGTAAATTTTTAAGCTGAGAATGATTTTTCTCTGTGCGTTTTAATATCGTGTCTACTAGAATGCTGTTCTATTTGAAAAAAAATTTCGCACATAAGTCGGCTTTCGTTTAAAATTACTGCGAGCTTTAGATATTGTATTGCAATATTCAGAATTCGAATAAGCAAATAGAAAAATTTCAATGTAGTATGGACTAAAATTTTAACTAAGAACAGATCGTTTTAACCCTTTCGCGCCCGACAACACATATATGTGTGCTAATGTATTTGTCAAATAAAGATCGTAATACTATACATTTCAAGTGTTTAGAACAGCTTCTCATCGTTTGTTAGATAGTGTCAACATGATATAATTCTTCTCTTTTCTTTTTATTAATCATTTTATTCGTGCACATTCCATCCATATTTTTCTGTCAATCTGATGTGCCCATCCCATAATCTTCGACGCTTTATGCAATATATGTGTCATTATGCATTGTTGATTACTTCAAAGACTACCATACGAAGACGAACTATTAATGCTGTTTCTTATAAAAAAATGAAATTTCTTTGAGAAAAAAATTAAGTTCTTTGATAAACATTACTTTTCAAAACCTTCATTCTCTTAAAAAAAAACCGGGAGCCAAAGGGTTAAATATGAAATACATAGTAATAAAAAGAGATAGGAATAGTTTGGTGAAGTATATACGAATTTGTGCTGAAGGGTAATATAAGATAGATATCTTCAGTCATATGTTTTACATCTTCTTCTGGAGGTGTCTATCAAGACAATAGTGTCATCTTAGAACCATAAAAGTCCTTTTATTTATTAAGATAAAAAGATGGAAAAAACATCAATTTGTTATTGATGAAACAAAAAAAAGGTCAATTGAGAACGTCTTATTCATCACATATTAGCACCACTTTATCACAAATCTAGTCAATTTGATTGTGATTTTAAATCATTTGTATATATAGATATTATATTGACATGTGAACGACATCTTAAGTGATTCAATAAATAGATCTTTTGTTTGATAAATTTATCATAATTTCATCAACTAGTTCGTATTTTTTTTATCATTAATAATCACAGTTAACATTTCCGAATGATTAGTTGTTTTCTAACAACTATAATTTTCTCATCAGTTTTTTTTTCCTTTTTCTTCCTCTCTCAATGTCATTTTATCTTAATCTTGAGTAGAACAGCAATAAATAAGATACTTCTTCGTACTATTATTCGTTATTTCAATGATAAGATGATCGATTGTAGTACTCAACGATTCAATCGTTTCATGACAAAATACATTTTTTTTTATCCAAACAATATGAATACTCTTATTACAATGAACATTCCTTCCGTATACTAACTAATCAAGTATATTACCAACGAAGAAATTTTTCCACTACGACTACTACTTGATTTACTTATTGTGTTGTTGTTGTTGGTGTATAATTTCGAAGAGCAACAATCACAATTGGTATTCATATATTTACTCTATTACCTAGTCGTTTTATATATATATATAATTATTTCTATTCTCTACAAATCATATCGAATCTTCATCGCATCTTGTTCGTTTTTTTCCTTTCCAAAAACCGACATTCTGTTCAAAATGGTCTGGTAATAATAATCATCAACTAAACAAATAATATTTATATCGAATTACAAGTAATTGATTGAGGTTAGAAATATAATGAGTATTACATTATATAAATAAAATCATGTTACTCGGTCACCACCACCATCACTCTCATGCTAAACGACAACATCAAAATAAAGTAAGAATATTCAAATTTCTAACTATCAGTTTACATGATGTTTTTGTTAATATAAAAAATATATATATACTAAGAATGCTGTTATTGATTAGGAGATACTATCAATCATACAAGATTTCCTGTGTAGGAAGAGAACGAAACAGATAGGAGGAAAGAAGTTATTGATTATAATGATAGTCTTGTTTTTCCTAAAATTGCATGCAACTATAACGTTAATTAAACAGAAAAAAAGGTATGGTAAAAACATTGTAAATAGAATTCGATACTTACTTAAAGTATCATTATTACTGAAGATTTAATTAACATGCCATATGTTATGCAAATAGAATTACAATGTAGATATTTTTCATTATATGTCAATTGAAAATATGAATATTTTATTATTGAACACAAAAATATTTCGAATTTATGATAGAATAATTACATATTTTCAAACATGAAATCAACGGAAAAATATATATTGATGTAACTATATCATAGATGATAAATCGTTATTGTTAGTTGTCATATACACCAGATTTTTGTCTATATGTATCGTCAATATGTGCTTTATCAAGTGCAAAATATGCTTATCTTCCCATATATTATTCATAGTTAGATAGTCTCTTGTATTTGTTGATCTTTATTCTATTGAGTATACTTTACATAGATCAATGACTATCGAAGTTTCGTCTTTTAAAATATTATTTATTTATTTTTTTTTCTGTTTGATTGAAGTGTAAGGAAAAAACCATGTATTCGATTACTTAGCCTTCATGTAAATGACCTTTCATATAACCATTCTAAGCTTTGTTTACAATCAAAGAGTATATATTTACAGTTATACATATATATATATAGAATTTGTCAATGTTATTTTTTTCAATAGTATTTAAAAAAATGAAAAAGAAAAGAATTTTTATAAATCGTCATATTATGACATTAATTAAAATTATTAGATTTTGTTATTTTGACTTCAAATACAAAAGAATCCTTTTATTGTTTCTTCTACTATCGCCCAATATTATTGTCTTATCTTATGACATAACGTTGTTTTTTCTTTTCTTTTCCCATTGCTTTTGTCATCATTTCGTCAGAATTATCATCAAACCTATTATTACAACGCTTTTTTTTTTCTTGCGACAAAAACAATAACTTATGAAGTCAAGATACATAGTATAAAACGAATAGAAATATGATTACCATTGTCTATGAAAATGCTCGCCTCAAGGCTACATATAAAACGACATTCAACTTCAGCTATTTCTCGACCAAGTACAACAAATATTCGATATTTATCTTATCGTCAACAACGTCGTGCAACAAAAAAATTACAATCACATAAAACTTCCATAAACCATGATCCTAACAATGATGAGACTGATGAGAAAACTAAGGTAGAAAACAAAAACCCGTTTTTCTTGTTCTATTCGTAATATCCATAGAAATAAAGATTATTTTTTTCTCTGAAATTATACTCATCAATCATAAATGATTATAGTTACGTGTGAGAGTTATTAAAACGAAAAAATTTATCATGATTAATAAATAAATGTAGTATTTCATTTCTATAACATTTCGTGAATAAACAGAAAGACTAGTTGTTTTGTTACATAGACTATTCAATAATTAATTCGTTTGTTTTTCTGACTTATAAATTTAGTTTAAATTTACTGATCGAACAACAAATGCAACACAGATACGTTCAGGTAATACAAAATATGACCGTATACAAGCACCTATTTTATCATTCGATGAAGAAGGAGACATTCCATTGCCTGCAATTAAAAGCAAACGTATATATTTATATATTTGAAAAAGAAATATATACATTATTTTTATTATTTAGGTTTTTTATCGGATGATCATACATATTTTAGTGAGTCAAAAGATAATCTTACAATTTCAAAATCAATTACTGATGGTATATCAATCGAAAAAACACGAAGACAAAAAATTCAAGATGCTATTAAAACTGTTTCAAAAGTTGCTTTTAGTCAATTAGGATTAGGTAAGTTAGAATATTCGAATAACGACTTTATCTATTGACGAGATAATAGAAATAGTCTTATTTAGGAAAATAAATAACAATATAAAAAGACACTATTTTCCTAGAAAAATAATGAAGGTTAAACAATATCTAGTATTCTGTCGACTTCTTATCTTCTATGAGATTGATGTATTATGTCGACCTGTTGTCTTCTATCATCGACTCCTACGTTTGACTTTCCTTATTACTCACGGTCTATATTAAGTTTTTACCTCCGAGAGGTTAAAAATGATCCACTAGGGAAAGAGACAAAATGTCCCATATTAGCCTTCCACTAGATAAAACACTGTAAGTATTTTCAAATTATTACAATAGAATGTTAGACGTTAGTCATAAAAACTCAATGTATAATTAATAATACTGATTGTGTACTTTTCAGGTGGTCTTGTAGTTGGTTATGTTATTCTTGGTGGATTGATATTTGATGCTATTGAATCACGTTATGAATTAGAACGTTTAGAAGAAAAAGAACGAAATCGTCAACATTTTGTTGATCAATTATATATTCATGCTTATAGAGAATTTAATCGTGTATTAAATCAAACATTTGAATTAAAATATGCTTTATGGCGTGGTGGTATATCCCGGCATGATGAACATAATAATGGTTGGCAAATAGATGTTGAAAAAGATTTATGGAAACAACATATTGATTATGAATTATTACAATATTTTGGTGCAGAAGAAAAAAGTCAATATAGTAGTGATGAACAACAAGAAGCACAAAATACAATACAAGTTTGGACTTTCTCTAGTGCTATGTTATATTCAGCAACTGTTATTACAACGATTGGATATGGAAATATTACACCAAAAACTACTGCAGGCAAAATTGCAACGATGGTATACTAAGT